ATTGCGGGTTCGCCATCCTTTACCACCACGGTCTCCTGGCTTGAACAGGTCGGCCCTTTTGGCAAAGTTCCATCATGTTCCATGGTTGCCGGGTTGCCCATGTTGAATCAATGATTCAAACTCACAGACTGACAAGCATTGACCTCATCTGCCTGGGAGAAAACACTGCATGCTCCCCAAAGTCTGGCCTGGGCAGCCCAGTTCTCTGCCAGGGGCCGCTCCGCGTTGCAGTGCCTGGGCTCGTGCTAGTGCTGCAGGTGCCTGCGGGCCAACATGCCAGCGCAGTTGGCAAGCATGGGGGATGTCGTGCAGCCGGCATACTGAGTCTCGTGGAGACTCAGTACCTGCCTGATCTGGCACGACATCTTCCGTGATCAAATTCAGCTCTCCCTTTGCGCTTGGGGGTGAGGTTCCGCATGATAGACAGGCGAGCGAGCTGCCGGGATGAAGCATCCTGAGCCACATCCAACTGCTCCGAGAGTTCCTCGACGAGCTTCCGCACGAAGACGAGGTGAACGCTGTCGGGCCAGCTCCTCGGACAGAGCCGTCAGAGCCGAGCCTTGCAGAGTACCGCTCACGTTGTGCGCCAAGACACTCCCACGTCTCCAGCTGCTGCCGGACCCAGCGGCGATGGCGTGTCATCGGCGGCGGCATTTGGCTTGGAGACATGAGATATGCTTTGTTACGGTTGCATTTGATCGTACGCCTCCTAGTCCTTCATTGCTGCGCTGCAGTCTCTCTCGGTTGACAGGACATCTGCAGAAGTAGTCAGTCTCAGGCGAGTGCACTGCACGAACGTGTGCAGAAGTGCGAGGCTGAACCAGAGCAACAATGTCAAAGCGAGCGAGCACAGTGCCGTCACCTTCTCAGTAACCAAGCTGTCACAAGAGCTCACGTTGAAGCTGCCCTTTTCTAGCTCCATGTCAGACGCCTCAACTGAAAAACATCTCACCGATTGGACTCAACAGCACACAGCTGGAACTTAAGCCGCAATCTCTTGAGCTAATGCAAACAGGCGGAGAATATGGGGATATGGGGGGCCACAAGCGCCGCACCATGCCGCATGCTGAGACCGAAGGCAGAGTTTGCAGAGAGGCGGTGATGGATTCTGGGTCGCCACATCAAACCGGAAGTGTTCTTCCGTTTGGTTCGGTAGTTTTTTTCCAGTTGTGTCCGTGTGTGTTCTAGTAACTAGTACTGTTACTAGTACTGGTAGCAGTCTGTTACTACTACTACGACTATGACTACAAGTCCTACTACCGTTACCACCACTACTCTACTACTGCTCCTGCTGCTAGGAGCAGGACAGAGACCAGGAGTAAAAGACTCGGACGGTTTAGGACAAGAAAGACAACTGCCGAGCATGTGTGTGCACGAGCCAGTAGTAGGAATGGTGACAATAGTACTTAAGAGATTACTAGTACTGGTAAGTGTTACTAGTACTGGTGATCGTAACTGTGGTGGTAGCAATACTAGAAACAATAGTGAAGTGTTAGCAGTAGCAATAGTACCAGACATGATAATGGTGATAATATCAACAGTATCGTAATACGAGTAGCAATATCAATAATAGTAGTCGTCGAAACAGTAGTAGCAGTAGTAGTAGTCGTCGTAGTCGTCGCTCCGATGCTGTAGCGGCAAGGTCGCACCTGCCCGATGGCCAAGCTCACTGCAGATGGCCTGCACAACGTGGTAGGCTTGAAGTGCGGAAGATACCAACCGAAGAGCTGTGTTTATGTCCGTCGAAACACCGTCATGCGCTCCGCCTGTCTCACTCTGACATCTGTCATGGAGACTACCGCCCAGCCCATCGAGCCCTGTTTCCGCACGGTGACCACCTCTCCGACCTGCAGGCAGAGTGTTTCAGAGGAGCCGGTTGAGACAATGCTCAATTGATCTTCGAGTTTCTTCGCCTGCTGGACGGCTTGGAACACATGTCCTTGCTGTCGTCGGGAGAGGGCCGGCATTGCCTGAAGGAACACGCACAAACAGCGTATTCTCGAAAAATGGTGCTGAGGAACGAGCCGGATGATGATGATGATGATGATGAAGATGATGATGATTTCTCGATCTGAAACTTCTGGATGCCAAAAAGGCGGATTTGTTCCGTGCGAAGCAACGACAACACCTTCCGTATCACTCGAGCAACAGATGCCAGATTAATCTACAAGCCTTGTCTTTGCTGCGAGTGGCTGGTTCCATGGGCAGCCATTCTGCTGCCAAACCCATGGCTCGGCCGGACCAGCGATGTTCTCAGTTGTTTCAAGCTTTGGTCGTTCTCCTCCCAGTCCTTCATTGCAGTGCTGCAATCTCTCTCGGTTGAGAGAACATCTGCAGAAGTAGTCCGTCTCAGGTGAGTGCACTGAACAAACGTGTGCAGAAGTGCGACGCTGAACCAGAGCCACAATGCTGCTGATGGTGATGCTGGTCATGTGATGTTTGTGGTAGTTATAGTTGCAAGCTGCACGCATACACTGATTCCTCTTTTGCTGTGCATTGGCTCGTCGAGGCAGACTTCAGCTGCAGCTGCAGTCGGTGAGAAGCTTAACATCAATCTTCCACTTCGAGGTGGACTTCTCGAAAACCTTCATCTGGCGTTGCGCTTCCGAGTAGGTTAAGTCGTTTTAGTATCGTTACAAGCCATGTCTTCTGATCTCATTTTTCGTTTTTGAAGCCCTCCTCGGCTTGCCAAGCCCAAAAAATCAGCTTATCGTTCTTGGGGATTCAGTATATCGTTTTACATATCATACGGCATACCCCATACATATGTCTGATCTTATCGTTTTCCACAATTTGGCATTGAATCCATGCCACAGATTGTCCGAAGTCCTGCTCAAGACTAGGCATTCCAGCCATTCTGAGGAAAGACAGAGGGAGAGAGACGTCGTGGGTTGTGTTCATTGATCACAACTCTACTACCTAGGCAAGGCTTACAACTTTGGGGCTTAGCCCTTGGATGGCTCAGTCGCTTAAATAATTCAAAAATCAAGCATCCTGTGATCTATGGTATATACTTGTTAGTCGTTAATCAAGAGCCATTGGGCTCACTGGAAAGGTCTTATTTGCCTGGAGCCTGCCTGTGGGAAGGGTTTGGAATCTTCGGGTTTGGTTTATGTAGGGTTTAGGGTTTGGCGGTTTAGGGCCAATGGCTTTGAGAAGGTTTAGGGTTCCCTCTATCTAGGGCTCTCTGCCGATGCTAATCACGTTCATGTTCTTATCATCATCTTCAACACGACAAACATGATCAGCGAAATTAAAGATACTACCAAGGGTTTTCATCAGAAATGAACCATAACACTTCTTCTTCAACACCCTACTTGGAACTTCACCGACCCCGCCCAGGCGGCGTCACTCTCCGCACTTTGACTTCTCAGTTCCGTGTCACTGGAGTAATCCAGCATCACATCAAGGCTTGCAGATCACTGAAAGTTCGCAGGCGACATTCTCCCTGCCACTTGCTCATCATGAGGCAGGTGTTTTAACACTAGCATAGGCCCCGACCCAACTGGCTGCTGCTGTGCTGACAGTGACTGTTGTCATCGTTGAGGTCCTACGGCGTCACTCCTGGAACTTGGACTTCTTCCTGACCGGGGATCTCTGAACAAGCTAAGCAGATGTCGGCACTGCAAGGTCCCATGTGGTGCCTTTGTGAGAAAAGCATTTGGCATCGGCATGTGCCTGAAGGAAGTCAGATTCACTCTACTTCCCGGCGCAACTTCCGGGCATCTGGGCTTGATACGCCAGATATTTGACCTCCCAAGCAAGGGGGTCAAAGTAGACATGTGCGTTGCCTGCAACATCATCCTGCACACACCACGCTTGCACGATTCCCCTTTGCCGGAGCCACAGCAGCCCTCCGTTCCTGAGGCTGTGCTATCCACATCTTCTCAGTCTTGTGGTACAGCCATCCGCGCTCGTACCTTTGCATGGCCAAGGAGCCATGGCAAGTGGAGACAAAGCGATACTGCAAAAACGGCGCACAACTGCCATGCCGCCAGAGCCTTGGCACGCACCAACGATCTCGCTTCTTCAAGCCTCTCTAGCCCGAACAAGCAAGACGAACAACAAGGACTGGGAATGGAACTTGTTGAATGTCCCTGGGCATACTGTAGAACATGTAAAACAATGTCTCCAGGGAGAACTGTGGGAAGTGTTCCTGGCAGGTAGTTTTTCCAGGCACATGAGCTCATGTCGTTGTGCTTCAGCGCATGTCGGGGATTGTCAACCCCAAAGTTTGCGGCAGTCCGATGTCCAAGAAACCTCACGGAAACCCTCATTCCGCGGAGCTGGAGGTGACAGGCTCCGGCAGACCGAAGCCGGCCCAAGCCCAGACTTTTACCTTCAGCACTGAGGGGTGCCTTGCAGCTTCTGTCGGAACGGTGAAGGCCAAGGGCTGGCGTCTGGACTCCCTGCTGTTTGAAGATATGACACCATTACGGTTCACCATCTCACTCCCCTCCCGGGAACAATCTAGGACGAAAGCGACGGCCGGCTCCAGAACGGCGCCTAAAGCTCCCTTGCAAGTCAAGCCGTGCAAGACAAGGGCAGCAACATGCCGAAGTCACAACTTTCGGGCTCGGAGGGTGAATGAAGTAGCCTGGAACATCGGTTCAGATGCTAAGCAAGCAAAATGCTGCATGAGGTTGCTGTCAAGGTGCTCTGAGGAAGAAGGTAAAAGTCTGGCACCACCTCGCTCGGGTCCATTGACATTTGAACCACCTGCGCAGCTGCTCGTTTTCAATGGTGCGCAGGATCTGGGGGCAGCCTGCCTCGAAGATCCCCCCCAATCCAAACTTATCGCGAAGCGCGTGGGAAGCCTGGCGCAGGTGGAGCTTGAGGTCAGGCACGAAGATTACTGCAGCAGCCGGTACCTGAAGCGTCGTGCCGTAAAGCGCTTCATGCTTGCGCTGTTCCTCAAATCCACAGGCAAAGGTCCCTGCAGCATCCCAGCCCGGGCACGGGCTCCTCTGGCGTCAGGTTGTCGGGCATCTGGGCAGGAACTACCTGTGCAGGAGATGGAAACTAGAGAGCAAGCAGCAATCCCCCTGCCACGGGGCCTGAAAGGGCTCCGGCGGCGGGATTGGCTGCTGTTCTTCAAAGCGCCGTAGCCTTGCAATCCGACACTGCGAAACAGGACAGGAGCTGCAGAATCTGCAACTGCAGATCTGGGTTGCCGGCTGCTCCGTCCTCTTTCTGAGGACTTGCTCCTGCTGCCGACGCTCCTGCTCTTCAGCGCGCAGCTTCTCCTCAGCCTTCGTGCTCTGTTGCGATCACATCTTCAACCCTGCCCCGTGCTTCACGATACCAGTCCTCTTCAGCTGCCTTCCACCCGCTGGTGATCTCCTTGTGCTTGCTGTCGAAGAACCTTCGATTCTTGCGCACGAAGTTGCAGGCTCAGCTCGGAGGGCTGCCCCAGTCGACTAGGATCTGGACTTTGCAATTGTCTGCTCGGTCAGCGGGTTCTGCTTCTCCGCCTCGTCAGCGATCAACTTTCACTACCCTCCTGCCCCCATTCTGAACTTCTGCACCCAACCTGCTTGCTCCACGACAAGAACAAGTCTGTAGGCACCTCCTCCTTGGTCTCCTTCAAAACGAACTCCGGATGCCAAGACGCAGCACTGGCTTTAGCAGCAGGCCCGGACCACAAGCAAGTTGGAAGAGACGATGATGGCAATATCTGTTCTCACAAAGGCTTGAAGCTGTGGTGGAATGGACAGCCATGTTGAAAGAGGTCTGTCCCCTCTCGTATGATGCCGATGCAGTAACGAAACTACTGCGGAAGCAGTCTTAGCTCAAGAAGCCAGACTGCATGTCAGGTTGCTCATGTCACTTGGTCCTTGTTCGTGTACGGCTTGATTCCGATCTTGATTCCATTGATTGTGCATTTGCTGCCGTCTTCCAGTATGGCCTGCACAAGGTGGTAGGCTTGAAGTGCGGAAGATACCAACCGAAGAGCTGTGTTTATGTCCGTCGAAACACCGTCATACGCTCCGCCTGTCTCACTCTGACATCGTTCATGGAGACCGCCGCGCAGCTTATCGAGTAGTATTTTCTCACCATGACAAATTCTCCGACCTGCAGGCAGAGTGTTTCAGAAGAGCCAGTTGCGACCCTGCTCGCGCGATCGATGGCCTCCTCGACTCCACTACTCGCTGGGATGACTCCAAGGCACCGTTATCAAGTAGCTAGGAAGTCGCTGGCCTTTGCTTTGCCGCCCCCGTGGATCCCTCGCTCGCCTAACAGGGGAGCGACTGACATACACACAAGGGGCGTCCAAGTACGAGCCTTTTCCCTTCTTGCCCCCTTTCCCGCGACCTGCATTGGCAGATTGAAACTCCACTCCAGCGAAGCGGATCACGGCATCGGGTGGCAGGGAAGCTGGCATCGCAGAGCTTTAACGCGATTTTTCTACAGCATACAAGCCGATAACGAGTAGGCCTGCTGGCATTTCTCGCTCTGTGCCATTCTTCCCCTGCCCCTCAGGCAAAGGCGGGAAGAATGGCCCAGAGCGAGAAATGCCAGCAGGCCTACTCGTTATCGGCTTGTATGCTGTAGAAACATCGCGTTAAAGCTCTTCGATGCCAGCTTCCC